TTTCACATTAAATTCCAGTGAAATATATTTATGTTTGTGGTTGTAATGTGACAAAATATGGAAAAGTTCAAGGGGTATGAATACTTTTGCAAACCACTGTAAACAAACAACCATACACTCAGGGTTAATTTAGAGTTACAATTTTTTTTTTTTTTTGGTTTGTGAAAGGAAGCCAAAGAGAAAACCCACACGTGCAAAGAGAGAACATTCAAACTCTACCCAAAAAGGTCCCCGGGCCGGGATTCTATCCGGCGGCCTTCTTGCTGAGAGGCATCTGCTCTACCAACTGAGCCACTATGCTGCCACTTTGTTTCACTTTGTATTTCATATCTACGCAAGCATGTTGGCATGCACAAATGAGCTCAACCACTCTAATTTTCACCCCACATGCAGCAGTGGTTAGAAAAGTTGTATTGACATAAAATTTGGTACAAAAGATTTTCTTTGCAAAATGAACAATTTTGTCAGGAAGCACCTTAAAAAAGTCACATTTTTATTTTTGTCATACTGTAGAGGACCACCCTACTGTGTATGTATCTAATATAGACTAAATCTCTGTTTGAGGGCCGGGGTAAAGAATTTTGATGCTAATGTTAGCTAATAGCTAGCTTTGCTAACATCACTTAGCGTATCCTTGTGCTTCTTTTCTAAGGGATGAAAAAAAGTTTGATATAGTCCCCACCGTCTCTGAAAGTGAAGCAATGAGTCACATTTAGATTTAAATTAGTATGTTTTGTATCAAATGAAAGCAAAGATGTTAAATCAATTGGACAATATCCTGGCATTTTAGTGATAATTCCACAGCTGTGGTCTTGAAATAAAATCCTGAGTTCTCAATGTCCGAGACAAGTACAAATGTGGTCTTGAGACCAGTACTACAACACTGGTAACAGATATGAGACTGATGGGCTTCTGTTCACTACAAACAGTTGTTGCTCCTTTTATTTCTTCTTAAATTTGTTGTCTGAATGTGTGCGAATATCTGTCTGTAGCATTAGCAAAATATGTCACGAACCGCTGGATGGATTTTAATGAAACTCAGAGTAATCATTGGATTTCCAACTGATTGACCTTTGGAGTCAATCCAAACTAATTAACATTATCAAACGATAAACAATGGTCATAACTGAGTCTGTGTTACAGATACTGAGCTCATTTTTGTGTGGCAGGAACTGAGCACAAGATCTCACATAAAGTTAGCTTTAACTGTCTTTTCTCATCATCTTAGTTTAAAACTGATGTGGTGGTAAACACGCGTTCCTTTAAGAAATGCTTGGTCTACAATTAATTGATTTAATTGAAGGATGCTGTAATTAGATCAATTATGTGTCTGATTATTGGAGTGGACTCGTCTGTCATCGGTTGATGATATTTTGCTCTCCAGTGTTTTGATGGCAGCTGATTGTGAGGTTTTACAGCCCGCTGGCTTCACACACGTTTGTCCCATCTGACGTGTTTTTCTCCATCTGTCCAACTCTGGTCTGCCGCTCAGAGCTGACATTCCCAGCGAAGACGGTGACACCCGAACAGTACATCATCTGCTGCCACTTCCAGCGTTATTGTTAAGCTGTCAGCTCGTATTGAGTGACGCGGTCATGAACGACCTTTCTGCTGTTTAAAGAAAGGTGAAGTTGCTCTGATTTATGTAGCGTTTGTTTTGATTCTTTAAAGATGAACAGTTGGTRGTGATGATGAGGCTGTGTCCATCCAGATACTTTTTGTTTACGTCGTCGTATTTCTGATAATAATAGACCAACTGCATCACATTTGATTGGTTATTCAATTCAATAYTTGTGATAAAATGCTGGTTTGTTCACTGTTATTTTAAAATGAAAAGACCTTTTATTTAATTTCTCACAGAGTTTGATGCATATTGTCGTGTTGCCAACTTAATATCATTATTGCTGTATTTATGTACAGACCCGTTTAGTGACTTTATCAAAAAGGCAACTACGTAGTATCTTTTTTCTGGCATTACCAGCAGAATTGTAAAGACACAAAATAAAAATACTTTGTGACTTTATTTAAAGATCGTTTTCATTTATCTATAATCTTCTCAGCTGACTTTTTATTTCTGCTCCTTATATTTTCACACAATTATCTGTTTTTTCTACTCCTTACATTTAAAGGTCACCTCTCAATATGTTGTTTTTTATTTTTTTTGGAAATTCAAACTGTTTATTTTTAATCAATACTTTTATTTTAATGTTGAGTAAATTCTATATCAGAAAATTTGCTTTGATACTTAAGTACAGTAAYTGTCCCATTATTTAAGACATACTCAAGTAATATTCTCAAAGGAGAGTTCAACTTCTATACCAAAGTAATTTATTTGTACTTCCACTCAAGTATCACTTTGAGGTACTTTATACAAGACTGGCTATCAGCAGAGTGTTTAAAGTACTAACAAAAATACCTTATCAGAAAATGGCTTTGGTAAAAATACATGTAATTGATAAGAAAAGTAGCTCCTCGTTTAGTTTGTTTTTGGGTATTTGATGTTTTACAAACCATCTCTACACGCTTCAGCAAGATTTAAAAAATTTCAGTCGCACTCTGTCGGAGGTTATTAAAGTTGCTCTTTTTACCTGCATCTTCTGACATGTTAGATTATAATTGGGTCCTTCCTCTTCAGCGTGTTCATGATAAACTGCTCATTAGTGCACCAAAGGTTGCTTACTCCATGGCTACTAATTGTTCCCATCCGTTAGGCAATTTACCTCTGGATGAATTATGTTATGTAAAATCTGCAGAGCAAAGAAAATTTTCTTTGAAATTCTACAGGGAGTTTAGAAAATTATGATGGTGGTCTTAGCTGTGAAACATGCCTGCAGTCTTTCATTGACTCTTTAGGGCCCGGCGTTGAAAAATGAACAGATATCAAAATATCTCATGAACCATTGGCATATTTTAATGAAACTTGCAGAAAATAATCATTAATCTACAAGTGATAAACTTCTAGAGTTAAACTAATTGAAGATAGTCATTGTTGTATAAGGCAGTACCTGGACACCTGTTTGTTCTTTTTTTTTTGTTCTATCAGCGGTGTATTAGTTTTAGACAAACCTTGAAATAATGTTATATTTAATATAAAAATATTCCAGGTTCAGTTTATACTAGATTCTACAATCTGTAGTTTTAGCTCATTATTTGTAACATTGACTTAAATATAACCATTTTCGTGAACGCTAAAATCAGTGGCGACTATTTTGATTGGTTGTTGAGGTTTGGGGTGCCAAGTTTACAAAATAAAATATTTTAAAATGTCAAACACATTTTCATTATTAAGCTCACTTTTTGAGTGTAAAATCCTAGCTTGAAATGCTCTAACATTTTGTGTTTAGCTCACTGGTCTTACATTTAGGTAATTTTTACTAAATGTTAATTTTAAATATAAAATAATATGGGTAAATATTAAATCTTGAATCAAAATATGTAAATCTAAATGTAAAAGTTTAAAGGTGGCTAAATGTTGAAGTTTACATTTACAGTAACTATTTCGGAATACAATGCAGCCTTTGCCATTGGTGCTCATCTTTTGTTTTGGTGTCATTATCCTGCGACAAAAGCAACCGCTAACGCTGCTAATGCTGCTAATGCTGTGTAACGCTGCTGAAGATGGCATTTAAAATTTGAATTCAAAATGTGTTCATTGAAAGCAATATGGATGGTACCTGTGGTTCGACAGTTTGAAGTGCAGCTCAGAAACTGTCCGTAACTAAGTTTGATGTCTTCAGGGAAGTCTTAGCAGCATTAGCAGTGTTACCAGCTTTAGCGAAAAGGGTCAACTGCAGGTCTCAGCCAGTACATGACAAGCCCCCCTAACAGTAACTCAAACCCCGGGCACCATAAGTAAGTGGGTGTGTTTTGTAGTGTAAGTGGGTGTATTGTGTAGTCAGGGGACATGTTTTGTAGGGTCTGCAGCTGCAGCTGGGTATTTGGCTTTAGCAGCAATGTTTGCGGTTGCTTTTGTCCRAGGATGATGACGTCATATCAAGAGACGAGCACCAACAACATAGGCTGTATTACATTCCAAAATATTTAAAAGTAAACTTCAACATTAAAGATTTAACGTGCACATTTAGATTTGGGATTTAATATTTGCATGTATTATTTAACATGTAGTAAACAATTAGTAAAATCTAAGAACAGTGAGCTAAATAAGAATAAAATGTTTTTTCCAAATTTGTTAATGACATTTTTTAACATTTTATTTTACCCTTGGCACGCTATATTAAGGGACATCCATTAGTTCTTCTTGTAGCATTCGTCCAGTAGTTTATGAAACATTTTGCTAACAGACTTTGACTCTATTTTTCTGAAGAAGAATAAAAATAATGTTGGTCTGAGATTAATGGTGGTGTTGGAGACTCTGTCCTCAGACCCAATCTTATTTTAGTGAACAAATGAATGAACAGCCAATTCAGGAAATTAATTATTCTAAATATTAGCTCATAATAAAATAGGTAATTGAAATATTACAGTCAATCCTCTTTATCACATTTTCTCTTCTATCATTTCTCTTTCACACCCTCTTCACACAAGCTGAATATATAACCCCTCTCCCCATCTTCCTTGTGCCCCACCTCCACCTCGTTGCTTTAGTGCTTTACTCCTCCTTGCATCCCCATCCATCCCCCACTCCCCACCTCCTCCCACCTCTATCGTTCTGCATTAAGCCCAGCTTTGCAGGAGCTCCTCAGACCAGTGTGAGTCCTGCTGGTCTCCAGTCGCTTTCACTAACACTGCATGTGGGAAAACCAGTAGGAGCAGAGGAGGAGGAAGAGTGGGAGCATCCATCCTCATGTGATAGAGCTAAAACATAGGAGGATAAAAAGTGAGCATGCTTGAGAGTGAACAAAAAAGAAAAAAATGAGGAGGACTAATGCTAGAAAATGAGAGGAGGAGAAAAAATAGCAAAAAGGTAGGAGTAGGAATCGCAGGGTGGCTGAGGGAGAGGAGAACATGAGTGAGCGAATAGGAGAGGAAGTGAGAGAGTGAGAGGGGAGTGAGGGAGGGAGGGAGGCGAAGCACACTGCAGACACTCGTCCGCTGTCACTGCTCCGCAGCCAGAGGACAGAGGCAGCAACGGTGGGAGCGGGTGCGATGGAGGAGGACGACTGTATCATCCATCTGCGGCTCGGTCCCCATCACTGACCGCCTCCCTCTGGGACCAGCCCGCCAAGTTGGGAACAAAACTACACTCTGCCCTTCACAAGAACACAAGTTCTGGACCCCCGAAACTCCTTCAGGACCATCATTCACACCCTTTTCTCTTTCACCCACACTCTCCATCACCTCGTCTCCAGCTGAAGCCCGGCTCACTTCTCGTTGCTTTCCGGACTCGTGTGTTTTGGTTCTTCTTTGTCGTCGCCACCTTTCGCCGACCTTTGGAGCTGAGTGGATTTACTTTTGTCCTGTGGTGGACCATGGGGCTGGGGTGGAGGGGTGCAGGAGGGACCCTCAGTAAAAGGACAGGGGAGAGCTTTTTGGTGACATTGCTGCTGTTCTGTGGTTTCTGGAAGGTGCACACACAGGCAGATGATGGGAAGTCTGTCTACTTCTGGGAAACAGGTACTTCTAAACCACTAATTACAGCTAAATATGAGCTTTGTATTTACATGTAAACTGTTAGTGAGGGCTGGCGATGGAATGCTGTTTGTGCAGAAACCATGTGACCTCCCAGAGGAAGTCATTTAATAGTTTTAATCGTCTTTGCAGAAAATGTTAATGTTCTTGTGTGTTTCTGAGATGGTTCTCCTTTTAACCGACTTGTGCCGATCAAGAAAGCCTRCACATGTGCGGTTGTCTCGTAAAATTTGTTGCTGGAGTTATTTGACTCAGTGCTGCTGAACTTCAAAGACAGGAGCTCTTGAAAGATGACCCAGAAATCTACAGTAGAACTGTGTCTTTGTAGCGAGCAGCGTGTGGCGCGCCGGGCAGCTGTGATCCATTTTTGAATGGATTACGCTCATCTCCCCGAGTCTCAGGTGATGCACCGTTATTGAATGTTGCTGCTGTGTGTTCCAGCTTGCAGATGATTAATAGGCGTTTCCTCACAATGGGGGGATCGGGGTAGTTCAATATCAATGCAACCTCGCCTGTTAAATGTTAAATCTGTTTGGAAATCATGCATATTATAGATGTGTAGATTTTCCATTGGTGTGTTGAGCTGAAATCTGATGTTTTAAGAAATGGTGGGTGCTACTTTTAGAGTGATAAAGTCCTCAGAGTGATAAACGACCCACTGCTGCCTTCAATTCTTGAATGGAGATAAAAACTCAAGAAACTGAGCCTATTTTTTATTTGTATCGCTTGCAGAACTTTTTGTCTCTCTAAACCAAATTCATCCCAAGTACCCGCCCCGCCTTTCTCAGCAACAGTCCCCTGGCTGACGTATCCCACATCTCCTATGTGGTTCTGCATCTTTAAAGAGGATGTAGCTGAGTAAGGAGATTAAAGGAGCAGGGATTTAACAATCCAGGAACGACAGCCCAGGGAACTAAGTTGAGGGAAAGAGGGAGGAAGAGTGAGCGGCACTGCAGGCAGAGAGAAGAAGATGCCTTAACCTACATCTACCCCACCGTGAGGTCATAATGATTATGCCTCTCTCCCACACTACACCACCTATCTCCCACACTACACATGCTTTCCACAACTAGGAAAGCTCTAGGCTCTGTGCTTTGAAATGTAATCCAGTGTTTGGGGGTTTGTTCACTTCTTCCCAAATAAAAGGTAATGCATTGATTCCAGCCCTGGAGTCGTTCCTTTCTGTTTTTCTTTGGTTTGACAATCGCCTGCGGAGTATTAAAATCACATAGGGCAAATTGCTGCTTTGAATCCCGGTGCTTTTCATCAAAATGTGATTATGTTTGTGCCGCATTTGCATACTTCCTCTTGCCATTGAAAGCTTGTTTAATAGGGGAGGGGGGGGAAGCACAAAATGCGATGATGTTTATGCATATTTTGAGAGTGTGCATTGGAGGAAATATTCTCATGGCAAGCAATGCTCTGATGTTTTGCATATTGATGAGTCTAGCTGAAATACAGCCTCTGTCTTCAAAACTGTGGGGAATTGGGCCTGCACTGCTTTTTATTGCTTTCTGTGAAAATATGATGCATCTATTTTGGGAGGTGAGACAGGTCGGTACTGGTGTTTTTTATATTTTTTATTATTATTATTTTTGCACCGAGAGTGCTGTTCAAAGGAGGCCAATAGAGACAAGTTCTGGTTTGACACTGCAGGGATTTTTTTTTATTTGAAGGAGGTGGTAGTTGGAAAGCTGAAGGGTGGGGGGGAGGGAGAATGATTACAGCAGCCACAAGGATAAAAGCGGTGATGATGATGGTGATAATGGCACGCCACAGATCTTCCGGGGGCCTTGAAGAGATTGCTGGGAGTTTGGATTTTCACACATCATTTTTCTTCATGTCACTTCCTCTCAATTGCYCGCTGTCTCTGCAATTCTTCTTCTGCATCTAATTGCATATTGCATGTTCCTCTTCCACCTCCATTTCTATCCAGATAATGAAACTGTAGAGAGTGATGAAATCCGAAAGAAACCTTTGCTGTTTGCTGTGCTCACACTGTAACACCGGGATGTCAATGCATCCAACAAATACTGCTCTACTGCGTGTAGTCAAGAACTGCTAAGTGCCAAACATACTCATACACACAGCAGGAGAGCATTTTCCCTCTCCGGTATAATGTGGATGCTTCATTAGACCCAACTGTTGAGGTTTCCAGGTTTGAGCTGTCAAGACCTCACATGTGCCTGAGGACAAAGCAATTACAGGTGGAGTAGGTGTCATCCAGCTCCTTCAACATGTCACCAAGGTTTAAAACTGTACCAATGAGAAATTTTTAAGGGAGAAAAAGGAAAAGGACTTGCGCAAACTGCTGACATGTGCATGAGCAGGTGCTGTTTCATTTACCCGTTTGATTCTTAATCTGACCGCTCTTCATCGACACCCACCCCGGCAGAAGACGGTTCGTGTAATCTTTCCAGGGATTGGGATTYTCTATCTTTAAGACTACATGCATGAGTCACCTCCGTCCTCTGATCGAGCTAGTCCAGTTTCACCTACCATCTCCTTCATTATATCACTTCTCAACACGTGCCTTCATGACGTTAAGCCTTATAAGTCAGCCGAGACATGAGCTGGCTCTTTAAGTGCTTTAACACGAAAAATTTGTGCTGCATGCGCAGTTTAAAGTTAACCAAAAGTTCTAAACCCTAATAAGTTTTCCCACAAGTAAAAGTCACATTTTGATATCCTGTAAGATTACAGACTTTATAGAGATAAAACCAAGATGTAAATGTTATTGGGTTGGAGCAGGGCCAACCCATGGCATAGGCAGTATAGGTGAATGTGAAGGGAGCCGTCCATCCAGAGGGGGTGCCACAACTGGAGGACGAAAATAATATTTTTTAACTTTTTATCACAGTATAGTTGATTTAGTCTGTAGTATTTAGTAAAATACTCTTCAAATGGCTGGAAAATGCATAGTTTTGAGTAGATCTTTTAGATTTTTTTAGGTCAATATACCCATTAACCCCCCTAGAACTGCTTCACTCCACAGCTGCTGGTTAATATGAACAGGTGTTCCACGTTGCTCTCAGCCAGTGTTGGCAGGAATGAGGTAGACTTCTGGTATTTTGTTTCAAATTAACTTTATTGTTAACTAGGGCTGGGCGATCATGGCCCAAAAAAATAGATCTCCGATTTTTTTCATCCGAAATTTGATTTTCGATTTTAATCAGTTTTGCTTCCCACTTAATGGAGTGCCTCTGTTTCAGGTGTTGAAACAAATTCGTTGTACTCCTGCTTTTTGTAGCAAGAGACTTTAAACAGATTTAGCAGTGAGGTGTTCGTTGCTCCAAGTCTGAGGTTGCAAAACCTAACCAGTTCCAGAAAACTGAAGAAACTGTGCCTTTTTTGGGAAGTAGATCCTCTTTGCTAGCTGCATATTGTCATGTTATGTACCAAGTGTCTTGAGGGACAGGTGGGATGACCGCTGAACTACAGAAGCCCCAGAGTGCACTGGTGGGAAAGAAATCTCGATTTACCAAAAATAAAATCTTTATAAATGGAAAATTCGAATTAATCGATTAAATCGATTTATTGCCCAGCCCAATTGTTAACGGTTTTAATTGGATAAAAATAATATCAAAGACAAAACAATTTAATTTGGAATGTGAACGTATCTAAATAGGTAATGAGGTTTTGAAAATTACACAAGGAAATCTTGCCTATGGTGCCAAATTGTGTAGGACCTGTGTTGGAGACTAGTTGGCGATTAAAACTTGACTCAATATTGAGATAAATTACAGGTATTTGAAGTTGCAGTCGCACTGAATACTGATTGTTTCTGACCAAGTGACCTTGGTTTGAGTTAGATTTAAGGCTAAGTTGTAAACTGAGTTCAGGTGAAGGTTAGGGATGTACTGGTAAGGTGTAGGTGGTGAATGGAGTCAATGCATGGCCCTAATAAAAAAGAAGTATAAACTTGTGTGTGTGTGTGCGTGCGTGCATTTGTGTGTGTGTGTGTGCATTTGTGTGTGTGTGTGTG